AATCACGTGACATGTTACGTCACGCATATCTTTATATAGCACAAACCCAACTGCAATAAAGTTGTTGTTCACCCGACTGACGGCGTCGCTACATGGTGGCAGCGGAACCCTCCTGATGCACCAATGGCGTCAGCGTTATTACAACCCCCGAAGCCCATGGAGGCGTCATAGGACCCTTGGGTTGCCTGGAAAACTTGGAAAAGTGAGTTTCTGCTGTTTTTCGCTGCTAAGATGTTGAACACAGAGCCAAAGGATATTCAAGCAGCCACTTTGCTAGTTACCATAGGCGAAGAAGCTCGAAAGGCATACATTACCTTCAAGATCGAGGAAGCGGAAGACAGAAATGATGTGGAAGTCCTGATTAGAAATTTGAGGAGCACTACAGGGCCGCGAGAAACTTGACATTTCAAGAATTTTTTTACGGTTCAAGAAACCAAAAGACAGGTGAACCATTTAATGAGTGACTAACAGAACTGCGTGTGTTAGCGAAGAACTGTGAATTCGGGAGTCTCGAAGACCGCATGTTGCGCTGCCGAATCATTCTGGGCAGAACGGATGAGAGCCTCCAGCAAAGATTGATAGCGGAAAACCCGACGTACGAAAAGACCGTCGACATGTGCCGAGCGCAGGAGCAAAGCAAAGAGCACTTCAGAGAAATAAGTGGAGCCACAGGATCAGGTGAAGGCACTATAGTAAATGCAGTCGCAATAAGAAAAAATCGTTGCTACAAGTGTGGGGGTCAATTGCACCGCAGTGACATGTGTCCAGCGGTAGGGAAAACATGCCGAAAGTGCGGAAGGTTAAACAATTTCGCTAGAGTATGCAGGTCATCCAAGTACCCGCAAAACGTCCGCCAACAAATACGAGATCTGCGAGCAGAAGACAACGAATTTTTTCTACAAATGTTGACTGTCGGCGCGATCGCCAGTGATAACTGGAGCGCAACTGTGTACATCGAGGGCTATCCGATCACATGCAAGCTAGATATCGGTGCAAACTGTTGTGTAATTTCAAGAATCGATGTTTCAAAATTGCCATATAAAGCTCAGCAAGCTTGCAACGTTAACCTCATAGCATTTTTTGAGCACACAACAGCCGCGCACGCGCAAGTTGAGTTGATGCTTTCAGCAAATGACAGAAAGGAACCCCTGGATTTCTCGGGACACGTTGCATCTCAAAAGGAAGCTAAAACGATTAAAAAAGCGTCGTAGTCTTGGGAATATCGCTGGTATAAACGAAGAGATTTCAGAAATTGCAACTAAACTAAAACACCAAATCCATATTGACAAACAGCTGTATTATGGAGAATCATTACCAAACTTCATTAAGACGTGTCCTGAGAGATTTTGGCGGAGCATTAAGCCTACATCTACTGAATGTAATGTTTTTGTAGTTGATGGAGTTGATGTGAATGATAGCAAGGTTATTCGAATGCCTTTAATCAAAAATTCAAATCGGTTTTCACCATTGACAATAATGTTCTTCCCTCATTCGATGCAGATTATCTACCTATACCTGACGTTGTTATCAGTGAGCACGGCATTCTAAATATGCTACTTAAACTCAATGTTAAAAAGACACCCGGACCGGATAGCATTCCAAACGCATTTTTAAAGCGTTATGCCGAGTGGATCGCCAAATATCTGTATGTTTTATTTTCAAAATCGCTACACGAAGGTCGAGTACCAGATGATTGGAGGGCCGCCAGAGTCAAGCCTCTTTGTAAGTCAGATAAAAAGCAACTTGTCTAAAATTATCGTCCTATTTCATTAACGTCAACTACCTCTAAGCTTATAGAACACATAATACATACGCAAATCTCTGAGTTTCTTAGTAAGCATAATACCTTAACAAAACACCAGCACGGATTCAGAGAAGGCTATTCAACCTGTACGCAACTTGTCGAGACAATTCACGATTTCGCAACTTCAATTAACAATGGGACACAAACTGACACCATTTTTATGGACTTTTCAAAAGCGTTTGACAAAGTCTCACACAAGAAATTACTTTTTAAATTAGAGAAAACACTTAAACTAATAAAATGAATAGCAGACTACCTTATAAACCGTAAACAATTTGTTGTTTTTAACGAATTCTGTTCAGAAGAGGCAACCGTTGACTCTGGCGCCCCACAGGGTACGGTTCTTGGACCCCTTTTGTTTTTAATTTTTATCAATGATATTGTGAATGAAGTTCCTGTAAAAATCAAGTTGTATGCAGATGACTGTGTCATATATTCTGAAATATCCAATGTAACCGATCAAATCATTCTGAATAGTGCCTTTTATAACATTGTGAAGTGGTGTGATTTATGGCAGATGTCAATTAACTTCGATAAAACAGTATTTATGCGAATAACTCACAAGAAAAAACCTTTACTATTTAATTATTCCACCGCAAGTTTCACCCTTTCTGAGGTAACTAACATTAAGTATCTTGGCATTTGGATTACGAATGACCTTAGCTGGACTAAACATATTGACTCCGTTATTACAAACGCTAACCGAAAACTATTCTTCCTTCGAAGAGCTCTAAAACATTCTAATTCCACGGTGCGTACTCTAGCGTACAGGACTATCATTCGCACAGTGTTATAATATGGAGTGATTGTTTGGGACCCCTTCACTAAAGCTAACATAACTAAATTGGAAAACGTGCAAAAGAAGGCAGTCCGCTTTATCCTTAATAGCTTTGGACGCACCTCTATAACTGAACTCCTACATCATGCCAAAGAGCCTTCAGTTACCGAAAGAAATCGTTTAATACGACTACAATTTTTTTACCAAATATTTAAAGGGCATTAAAAGCTTGATGTTTTCAATATCATTTCCTTTTCTTCAGGGTACGCCACCCGCCAAAGGCATCAACTTACAATAACCCCGTTCCGGTCCCGAAATAACTGCTCCAAATATTCCTTTTTCCCTCGTACAGTAACTCAGTGGAATGGACTAATTAATAACCAAGTGATGGAGCCGTCCTTAAAGTTGTTTGCAGCAAATTGGACCTGATTGTTCACATCATGCTGTTCTATTTTTTGTTTGTTTGGTTGGTTTATGCAATCTTGAGTGCCAACATTGTGAAAATTATATCTGTAACCACCCTGCTAAAATCTCTGTAATAGGGATTGCAGTATGAATAAATAAATAAATAATAAATAAATAAATAAACCAAAGAACAAACATTTTTCATTGTCGATCAAGACATCCCTGTCACCCTGAGTGGTGTAGCAGCTGAAAGTATTGGCTTCATCTACCGTATTGCGAGACCTACAGCATGAACTGTACCCGCCAGTACAATCTTTCGAAGACGTCTTTGAAGGACTCGGGCAGCTAAAAGACTACGAGTACGGCATGAAGCTCAAGCCAGACTCAGTGGGAGTCGTCGTTCCAGCGAGAAGAGTTCCCGTAGCTCTTCAGGACAAAGTCAAGGCTGAGCTGCAGCGCATATGGTAACAGTTGTAAAGAAGGACAAGGTTAGAATTTGCCTGGATCGCACAGCGCTTAACAAAGTGCTGCTGCGGGAGCATTATCGAATGCCAACCTTAGAAGATGCAGCCTCGCAACTATCCGGTGCCAAGTACATCTCAACGCTTGATGCGGCGTCAGGCTTCTGGCAAATTAAGCTAACCGAATCAAGCTCAAAAGTCTGTACGATGAGCACGCCATATGGGCGTTATCGGTTTCTTCGAATGCCCTTCGGCATCGCGTCTGCCCCAGAAATATTTCAAGCAGCTATGCATCGCATGCTGGAACGCTTGCCGTGCGTAGCCGTGATAATGGATGACATATTGCTTTGGGGCCGCACAAAATAGGAGCACGACAACAACCTGTCACTTTTGTTGTTACGCTGTCGTAAAAACAACCTCAAGCTTAACCTAAAGAAATGCACTTTTTTGCACCCTGAAGTCCGCTACCTCGGGCACATTCTTAGCACTGAAGGCCTCCGCTTGGACCCAGGTCGAGTGAAAGACATACTGGAGATGGAAAAGCCAAAGAATTGTAAGGAACTCCAAGTAATTTTTAGGCATGGTGAATTATGTACAGCGCTTCATTCCTAACATGTCTGGCGTGACGGCCCCGCTAAGAACATTGCTGCACAAAGAGATTGCATGGGTTTGGAGTGACTCTCAGCAGCGAAGTTATGAAATGTTGCGTGAAAGCTTAGCAAAAGCACCACTTGTTGCTTTCTTCAACGCAAATAAGCCAGTAACCCTCTCGGTTGACGCCAGCCAAAAAGGAGTTGGCGCTGTGCTTATTCAAAACGGCCGTGCTGTCGCATTCTCGTCACGTTCACTAACAGAAGCGCAGCGACGCTACGCTAAAATTGAAAAGGAAACATTGGAAATTGTACATGGTTGCATCAAGTTTCACGATTACATCTTCGGGCAAGAAACTGTGATCATTGAGACCGATCACCGCCCATTGGTGCCGATATTCAGCAAACTGCTTTATTAATGTCCGCTTCGCTTACAGCGCATGCGTTTGACTTTGCAACGATATCCTATTACATTGATCTATAGGCCAGGGAAACAGCTCTTCCTAGCTGACACCTTATCTAGGTTTCCCAGCGAACAGCTCATGCAAGAAGAAACTGAGCAATTTCAAGTGAATGTGCTTAAGTACATTTCAGCTTCGCAGCAGCGCCTGAGGGATCTTCGTGCTGCAACAAATGAAGATCCGGCCCTGGTCAAACTTCGAGGTTACGCCGAAACAAGCTGGCCTGAAAAGAGCGAGGTGCCCGAAAGTGTTCGTCACTACTGGTCCTACAAGGAGGAGCTACACACACAGGATGGTCTTGTTTTTCACAGCAACAAGGTAATTATACCAACCTCACAGCAACAAGAAATTATGTTGCTGCTTCACACTGCGCACCCGGGAGTTGAAAAGATGAAGGTGCTGGCAAGAGACATAATGTACTAGCCAAATATGTTGCGTGAAATAGAGCAATTTTGCAAAAACTGCAAGGTCTGTCACAAGTATCAACCGCGGAACGCCAAAATGCCTCTTCACAGCCACAACATCCCAAAACTGCCATGGGAATCTGTTGGCATGGACCTGTTTTTTTATGAAGGCCGTGAATTTGCCATAATAGTGGACTTCTATTCTTTCATTTTCGAAATCCGTGAACTCCGGCAGAGCACTGCTAGTGCTCTGACAGTATGGTGCACAGAATTGTTCGCCACTCATGGCTTACCGTCGCAGCTCTGCAGTGATATTGGCCCGCAATTGAACAGCCACCTTTTCAAAGAGTTCTTGCGACAACTAGGCGTTACCCGTATTACCACAAGCCCTTATCACCCCCGTGCCAATGGTATGACGGCAAGAGCTGTACAGGAAGCTAAAAAGCTCCTAAAGAAATGTGGGCGCAACCGGGTTGATTTTTATATGGCGTTGCTAGAATGGCGCAATACCCCCAGAGATGATGTGCTAAAGTCCCCTGTGCTGAGACTCATGGGACGGCAAATCAGGACCCTCCTGCCTGTGTCTAACAGCCACCTGGAACCAGAAGCAGAACCTAGCAAAGCTGTTCACAACAGGCTCACAGAGATCCGTCAACGCCAGGAGATCTATTACAACCACGAAACGATGGATCTGCCAGCCCTGTTTCCAGGCCAGCCAGTGTCCGCATACGACAACCTCCAGCGAACATGGTCACCGGCGGTTTTTCTGAGGCCAGCCAGCACGCCCCGGTCAGCGATCCTTAAAACAGAAGAGGTTCGAGAATTCAGGCGTACAAGAGAGCACCTGCGGGACAGGACAACCCACGGCGACGAAGGCCTCAGAAAAGACAACTCCCCTCGAGAGCTTCGCCGAAGCACAAGAGCTCGCTGGCAGCCCTGTCGATACCCACAGTCTTAAAGGCATAATTAGTTTGCGCTACAATAAAAGGGAGATTTAACCCGGCTGGACGTGCAGCCATCAGATAACACCCGTAATCACGTGACATGTTACGTCACGCATCTCTTTATATAGCACTAACCCAACTGCAATAAAGTTGTTTTTCACCCGACTGACGGCGTCGCTACACTACCACTCTTGTTTCAACAATATTTCACTGGGGTAACAGACCATAATGCCTAATGTTGACTTTCTTCACTCAAAGATGCTACGAGGCGCTTCGGTCGCTGGGCTTGCAAGAATACACGCTTTCTGTGTCGTACAAGTCTGAACAGTTACACAAGGACGCCGGCTGCCCCTCCTGTTATCCCTTCGACCCACCTGACAGCACGGAAACTGATTCGGATACCCGTGTTTTGTCGCAGTGACTTTCTACAGGTCACTTGCGAGCAGCGCCACGACCCATATTTGAGAGCCCTTACTTACTTAACCTCTCACGTCAACACCACGGGATGGCTTCCTTCGTATGTTTGTTCTGCACGACAGTGCTTTGATGATTGATATATGGGGTTTAACGTCCCAAAACCACATATGATTATGAGAGACGCCGTAGTGGAGGGCTCCGGAAATTTAGACCACCTGGGGTTCTTTAACGTGCACCCAAATCTGAGCACACGGGCCTACAACATTTCCGCCTCCATCGGAAATGCAGCCGCCGCAGCCAGGATTCGAACCCGCAACCTGGGGGTCAGCAGCCGAGTACCTTAGCCTTTATATCGACGCAATATGACACCACAGGGGGCTGAAATGCTTCTTGTTGTTCCTCAGCATTTGCGGTCACCTATCCTCTCGCAATTACACAATGTTCTAAGTGCTGGCCACTTGGGTGTTAACCGAGCTTACGATCGTGTGTGAAGTTTCTTCTGGGGATCCGGCGCTATGCCGCTTCCAGTGAGCTCTGCAAACGCTGCAAAAAGCCTTATCTCTCTCCCGCTGGCTACCTTCACCTAATAACTATCCCCAGCGAACTATTTCTACGGGTCGACGTGGACCCGTAGAAACAGTTCCCGACATTGTCCGCGCGTAACCAGTGGGGGGTCGTAGCGACTGATTATGCGGCGTGTTATGCCATTACGCCAGCCCTCCCTACCAGCTGCGCAAGCGATGTAGCTGACTTTCTCCTCCATCATGCCATCTTACACCACGGTAGTCCGCGTCAGCTATTGACTGATCAAGGTCTATGTTTTCTCTGGAAAGTTCTCGACGACCGTCTTCGCTCTTGTTCAATGTCCCGCAAGTTCAGCATCACTTACCATCCTCCAACAACTGCGCTTACTGAGCGCTTCAAGCACACACTCACGGCCATGTTATCCATGTACGTGTCCGAGGGACAGCGGGATGGGGAATGCACCTTACCAGGCCTACCTTTTGCCTATAATTCGCAACGTCATGGTATTAATGCTTATTGTTCGTTTTATCTGTTGTATGGCCACTTGAAAAATACACCTTACTCCCATTTAGCGTCACATTGCGTTTCGTGCAAGTGCCAACCTCTGTTTGAGAATACAATTGTTCTGTTCCGGCATCCTCATCAAACTACGCGCGAAATTTCTGAAGCCTATCACATTTCCAGGAATACGGACCAATGTATAAGTCATCCTTCCTTCTCACTACTTGACTGTGAATTCAGCTACCTAGATAACCCTTAGACATGTGCCTTGATTACACGCTTCGCATGCTGCCCTTGATTTCGTCATAATCTTTTTGACATGCGCAGTTTGTGTTTATATATGTCCTTCCGATGTGGAAAATAAATCAGTTGATAGTTGAGCGCTCGTGTTGTGTGGTTCCTCGCTTCGTCCTTTGTGTTTTTCTCTGCGCTCCCAGTTCGCTGAACGAAGAAAATGAATTACCAACTGGCCCACATTTTGATCCTTTTGCACTACCCGCTCTTGCATCTCGACTCACTATTTACTTCTGAGGTAAACTCAATCTCATTCTATACTCATGGTGCCATCGTTCGCATGGCGACGGCACGTCGTGTTGCCGGTGATTGACTCCAGGCATTTCAGGCTAACCAGAAACATCCTTACGATAGTCACCACCATGACGTTCATTTCAGCCCTGGATCCCTGGTATTGCTCTGACTGTCGTGTTAGCTTGAGTGAAAAATTCTTACCGTGCTACGTTGGGCCTTATCGATTTTTTTTACCGGCTTACCTAAGTCAGATAAGAGATCTCGCCTCTAAACCCCAAGTCTCCGTATACCTCACCAGCTACTGAGACTGTGCATGTTTCGCGACTAAAACCCTTCATCACATTCACCAAACCAATACATCAAGACGGCGCTTTTCTCGGCGGGAGTTCATGTGACGTAGGTGTTTGTGCCAGTGTCGACTAGAGAATGCTACTAGTCATAGAGGACTTTGAAGCGCCTCGCGCTGAAAAGCGATGGTGTCGCACTTGCCTTAGGGCGTCTGTAACTGCGACTGCAACTGCAACTGCAACTCCGCGCGTATAAGTGAAAACTGCAAGTCTTTTGTGGCATATACCCGCTCTGTGTTATGTGCCACATGCCTGGCGAAAATATTTGACGACGAACGCGACGGGATTGTGACACTATTCATTTCATGTCTAGCGAGCCATATTCGTCAAACCATTTTACTCTCCCCTACTCATTTCCGTTTACACCAGGTTGATTGATATGTGGGGTTTAACGTCCCAACAACGCCATGAGACACCGTAGTGGAAGGCTCCGAAACTTTCGACCACCTGACTTTTTTAACGTGCAGCTAATTCTAAACACACGGGTCTACAGCATTTTCGTCTGCATCGAAAATGTAGCCACCACAACCGGGAGGTTTACCCCAGATTAAGGCAGTTATTTATTTATTGTTTATTTATTAAAGGTACATTCAAGCCCAGAAGGCGCTACAGAAAGGAGTGGTGTAAAATATCGTAAGTGCAGCTTAAAAAATTAAAAATGTGAAACGAAAAACTGGAAAAATATTTACAGGGCATCATGTAAGGCGACCGTGAAGTCCTTTAGGTCCGTTATACAGGCGATGAAGGCGGAAAGGTGGTTACAGGCGGTGCTTGTCCTTGGCACAAATGAATCGTCATAAAGTCTCGTGTGGCAAGATGGTGAGCCAACCTTAAAGCGATAGTCGGTTTTGGTTGAAATGAATCGAGTTGGATGAAAGAGGGCGTCCCTCAAATGGCTGTTAAAATGGAAGATTTTGTGAAAAAAGGTGAAGGCGAGACAACTTGCGGCGCAATAGAAGATCAGGCAGGTTTAGGGTGCACTTCATGAACGTGACACTGGAATGACGTAAATAATTCGATAAGATGAAACGTGCCGCGTGATTCTGAGTGGCTTCGAGAGATTGAATGATGATGGCATGAGTTGGCTCCCATATGGCGCATGCATACTCTAGTTTGCATCTAAGCAATGTTTTATACAATGTTAACTTGAGTGACGATGGAGACTAAGAAAAGTTACGGCGCAGATAACCAAGCATGTGGTTAGCGTTGTTATTCCCATATTCCGTGTGTTTATTCCAGAAAATATTAGATGAAAGATCAGTAGAAAAATGTCAGTGCGGCATGTGGTCATGTTGTTACATGACACGCATGTCATGCTTGTCATGTTTGGATGCGTCATTTACCTCTGTCGTCCATTCGCGTCGCGTAATACCGAGTTTGGTACATGTGAAGCTAGCGAAATGGCAGCGAGCACATCATGAGCATAGCATGTAGTCTTGCTGTTACATGACACGCATCTCACGTTTATGATGTTTGCACCAGTATCATACCTTCGTTCTCCATGCACGTCCCGTAATACCAAATTTTGTATAAGTGAAGCCAACGGAATGGCCACCAGCGCATCATGAGTATGGCATGTAGTCATGTTGTTACATGACACACATCTCATGGTTATAATGTTGACACCAGTCACATACCTTCGTCATTCTTTCACGTACTGTAATACCAAATTTGGTATATGTTACACTAGCAAAATGGCCGCGAGTGCATCATGAGCGTGGCATGTAGTCACGTTGTTACATGACACGCATGTCATGATTTTCATGTTAGGGTCTGTCGCTTGTATTCGCCAAGCGTTTGCGCTATATCATACCAGTTTTACAACATGTCATGTGAACGAAACCACAACAAGAGTTGCAGCATCACGAAATGCAAACCATAACATTCATGACATACATATCATGATTTTCATGTTATTACTAGTCAAATATGTTATTCATACAATCATGTTATGCCATACCAAGTTTGGTATCGATACCATTATCGAAACATCCAGGAGAGCTCAAAGTCGTAGGCGGCTAGATAGATAGATAGATAGATAGATAGATAGATAGATAGATAGATAGATAGATAGATAGATAGATAGATAGATAGATAGATAGATAGATAGATAGATAGATAGATAGATAGATAGATAGATAGATAGATAGATAGATAGATAGATAGATAGATAGATAGATAGATAGATAGATAGATAGATAGATAGATAGATAGATAGATAGATAGATAGATAGATAGATAGATAGATAGATAGATAGATAGATAGATAGATAGATAGATAGATAGATAATAGATAGATAGATAGATAGATAGATAGATAGATAGATAGATAGATACGCTCAATGTCGCCTAAATTCACTAAGAAATCCCGTGTGCTCAGATTTGGGTGCACGTTAAAGAACCCCAGGTGGTCGAAATTTCCGGTGCCCCCCACTACGGCGTCTCGTAATCATATGGTGGTTTTGGGACATTAAACCTCACAAATCAATCAATAATCGCTAAGAAATGCTTCACATTTAATAAGCCCCGTAGAGGCTAAACAGCGTGAACGAAACAACGAGCACACGGACCCGACGGACAAAGACATCGTAACTTTGATGCCGTGTGAAGTCCAGGAGCCTTGTTCATCCAACGAAACCTCCAGTCTAAAGCAAATAATGACGCACGACGCTATATGGGCGCATCAAACGACCCCC